CTTTTTTAACCATTCTTCTATTGAGGGGCACCTAGGCTGTTTCCAGGTTCTGGCTATTACAAATAGTGCTGCTATGAACATAGTTGAACAAATGCTTTTGTAGTATGTTAGGGAATCTCTAGGGTATATTCCTAAGAATGGAATTGCTGGGTCCTGAGGGAGGTTGACTCAATGGGGAAGGTTTTTATGGTGAATAAGAGCGAGAGGGAACAGCCGGAGGCATCTGGGAGAGTCTGGAGCGTAGAGTGAAGAAAGCAGACTGGACACGTTCAGGGCTGTCTGCTAGAGAGCATAGTCGGGAGAATAGTGCAGATAGCCAGAGAGAATCGCAAGGGATAGAGAATAGAGAAAAGCTAGAGAACAAGGGGATAGCAAGGGAGATAGATGGGAGAGCAATAGAGAGAGAACCAGTGGGGTGGGCAAACCATGTGGGTTATAAGGAGGACAAATGGGGATGGTGGGAAGGGCCAGGAAAGGTGTAACAGGTACTTGTGATACTGAGAAAGCCTGGAGACCAGCATGGGTTTTGATAAGCTGATAGGCCCCAGAGGTAGCCCTTTGTCCCTTCTGCCAGAGATAAGGGAAATGACCCCTTTTGATGGAGGGGAACCTGTTTCACCAGTTCCTGAGGACTGCTGGCTTATCTAACCTCCAGAAGTCCTTCTATAGTCCAGCTAGAGCTCATTTCTGGACGTTTGGACTGCCTGTGACCTAATGGGAACTAACTTCCTCTTGTCTTTCAATACTTTAAATGCTGCTGTGACCATGGTGCCCTATGACCACAAGAGGAGACATACTTTTACCCATCCCCCCGCCCGCCCCGCCCTGCCCCGTAAGCCTGCATGGCATGTGCATGGCGTGCTCTCCTGCATGTGCCTCCATGACAGTTTCGCATCTCTTGTGGCAGAGGCAGCAGACCCCTCTGCATGTTGCCGCTGATCTTGGAAATGTGGAGCTGGTGGAGACACTGCTGAAGGCCGGCTGTGACCTGAAAATCACTGACAAGGTATCAGCTGTGTGTTCACTCTTTCAGGAGATGAAGCAGTGACCTCCCTATTGGCTGCCATGGAAACAGGAACATTAGCCTTCCTGTGTGTGTAGCACGTGGAGGCCAGTGGTTATTTATTATTTATTTATTTGCTTGTGTGTGTAGCACATGGAGGCCGGTGGTTATTTATTTTTTTGTGTGCTCGTGTGTGTGTGTGTGTGTGTGTGTAACACATGGAAGCCAGTGGTCAATGTTAAGACCGCTCTCTACCCTATTTTTTAAGACAGGATCTCATGTTGAAACTAGAGTTTGCAATTTAGTTAGACTGGTTGGCCAGCAAGCTCCAGGAATCTACTGTCTCCATCTCCCCAGTCCTGGGGTTACAGGGGCAAGCCTTTTACATTGGTGCTTGCATGGTAAGCACTTTACTAATTGAGCCATCTTCCCAGCCCTACATCTCAATTGTTTTTGATGATAACCTTTTTAAACATTATTTTTTCCTATATTTTATTAATTCTTTGAGAATTTCATACAATGTTGTAGGCAGAATTTTCTGTCCTGTCAGCCTGCTCCCCAATAACCACAAAGAGGCTTAATATTAATTATAGATGCTTGACCAATAGCTCAAGCTTTTTACTAGCTAACTCTTGCATTTTAAATTAGCCCATTTCTATTCATCTACATTCTTCCATGCGGTGTTACCTCTCTTTCATCTCGCACCTCCTGTTTCCCTTCAGGGTCTGACTGGTGTCTCCTCTGACTCCACCTTCTTCTTCCCAGTGTCCTTAGTCTGGTTCTCCTGCCTAACCTTGTTTTGTCCAATTGTTGGCCAGTCAGCTTCTTTATTAAACCAATTACAGCGACATATATTCACGCAGTTTAAGGAATATTCTATACAATGTCTTTTGAAGATTTTTCACTTCTCCAAACTGCTCTTTTATATCACCTTCTCCAACCTCCCATCCCTGCCCACAAAATTTTTAGGTTGCCTCTTCCTCCTCCTTCTTTTCTTTCTTCATTGAGTCCAGTTTGCATTGATCAGCTAAGTGGATTTTGGACTGGCCCTGGCATGTGGTCTGTCTACCAAAGGTCACATCATTGAAGAAAATTGACTCATCCTTTTATTTTTAAAAAGATCTACCTATGAATTTAGGAATATATATATATATATATATATATAAATATATATATATATATATATATAATAGGTGGGCAGTGGTGGCACATGCCTTTAATCCCAGTACTTAGAAGAGAGAGGCAGACATATCTCTGAGTTTGAGGCCAGCCTTGTCAAGTTCAGAGGCAGGAAAAGGAAGGGAGGAAACAACCTACATCTCAATTTTGACTAGATCTGTCTACAAGAATTATTATACAAAGCCAGGTGGTGGTATGCCTTTAATACCAACTTTGGGAGGCAGAGACAGGTGGATCTCTGTGAGTTCGAGGCCAGCCTGGTCTACAAGAGCGAGCTCCAGGACAGGCCCCAAAGCTACAGAGAAACCCTGTCTTAAAAAACAAACAAATAAACACAAAAAAGGAATTATTATTCAAATGACAAAAATATCTGTCTTTAGGATTCTGGGTCTGTATGTGTATGTGTGTTTGTGTATTGGCCTGAGATAATGTGAGGAATCTTCCTATACAGTTCTTCCTTAGTCTTTGAGGCTAAGCCTGCCAATCAAACCCAGAGACCTAGATCCTTGATACTGCTAGTCTTACTAGTCACTTAGCTCTGGGGATCCTCCATCTCTGCTTTCTGAGGCCAGCATTACACATGAGTTGCCATGCCTGCATGACGTTTCCTGGGGTTCTGGTGATCTTTGGTCCTCTTGCTTTTACAGCCACTGAGCCATCTCCCAGGCTGTGTAGCTTAGACTGGCTTGAACTGGAGACTCCCCGGTCTCAGTTGTCAGGTTCACTGTGTTCACCATACACCTGGCCATTCTGTCTTCTGGATACAGCAGTGATGTACCTGCATGCATACCCTTCTGCACGGAGCTCTCTCAAGCAGGGGTTGTCTTTAAGGGTCAGCACATGAAGAGGTGTTTGGCAAGCTCTCCTTAAAGGAGTGCTTGAGTCTCAGCAAATAACTCACATGTCCAACCTCACTGTTTATGCTTTTCACATTTCTCCCCCCCCCCGCCCCCATGTGTGTGTGTCTGTGTGTGCGTGAGCGCGAGTGTGCATGTGGTCTCAACCACGGCACTAAGCACGTGATGTCAGTGCTTCTCTTGTATCCTTTGTGACCTCCCATCATTTTGTGGATGTGTGAGCTCAGGTACTTCCAAAAAGCCTGAATCGAGTTGGTCTCTCCTGGTCCTCCTCTAGGGGCATCTGGGCTAGAGAACAAATAGACAGTTAATAGTATGTGCTTGCTAAACTAGTAGCGTGTGCATGCCAATTCCTTTTTACAGCACAGAGCACCAAAGTGTCTTTATCAAACACAGTATACCCCTTCCAGGCCTGGGGACAGAATCCAGGCCCCTGCCCTTGTTAGGCAATTGCTCCACCACTGAGCTATATCCCCAGCCCAAAGCCGGCCATTTTCCTTTCTGGTTTTCGCCTTCCCGGACCTCAGTTTGTTTCCTCACTGGTTCTGCGATTCACAGTCAGGAGGCTGACACATGTATGATCTGAGGTCATGGTGTTATTTTACGTTTCTCTGTCAGGATTTTTTTTTTCAATCATAAAAGTAACACAAGCAGTGGAGAATGTGGTAAACGTTGAACAGCATAGGAAACATGGACACCTAGGGCTTTGGCTTGGGGTGGAATGCTATTTGGTCCGCAGATGTAGCTGCTTGGCTTCATTAGCATTCAGCTTTGGTATTTTCCCATCCAGTCTTTCAAAGAAACTTATCCCGTTCACATGCCTTTCCTCCTGGGCAGTTTGGTGGGTGGAGGCTCTGTAGAAATTCTTGTGGGGCCCCTTGTGCTCCTGGACTGACTAGTCCAGTTGTCACGGTCAGCACTACCTAAAGCCTAGGGTTGCTAGCCCTTGGGAGACGATCTTCCCCACTTTCTCTTCTCCTTTGCTCCTTTATTCTGAGGGTCTGGCCCAAGGCAGGCCCTGGTACACATTTAACTAATGGACTACCCTTTCTAGCTGCTCCCCAATATAAGTGTTTCTTCTACTGTGTTAAGGTCTGGATGGGGTAGCTGGGCATGGTGACACAGGCCTTTGAGCTCAATACCCTGGAGTCAGAGGCAGATTGGTCTCTGGGGGTTGCTGGTCTACATAGCAAATTCTAGAGTTTCAAGCTAGCAAGGCTTGCATAGTGAGATGCTAGAGAGAGGGGCAGGGAGGAGGGGTCATAAAGGAGCCCAAAGAGAGGCTTGATGAAAGTCTAACTTGGGGTCGCAAAGCTCTTGGTCTCCGTCTGCCTCGCTGTCAAGGGGGGGGGCAGATGGCACCCCCACTTCAGTGTGCTGTTCCTTAAGAGAAATTTCTCCAGCTCCAACGTTCTGACTTTTAGAATACTGCCTTCCCAAAATAGGCTAATTATGGTGATTCAAATGGCTTTACAAGGCAGAATGCAGACGGTATGCAATCAGAGCCTTGTTAAATGCCTGCAAAATGCAATTCTTCCTAATTTCATTACCAGATCTGCTCACAGGCTGATTGTGTTCAGCCCGGACTTCCCAACTCACCCAGGTCCTAGCGCCCGCCCTGAAAACCCTGTCACTTGTGTTGGTGGGGAACTGACTGTACTTGTTGCTGTTATCCAGACATGTAAGAGTTATTGAGAGAAGTTTCTGGATCTTCAGGGTTAGAAACACAAGTTTCTAGCATTGCAATTTTTTTTTTTTCTGGAGTCTTTTCTGACTATTAATTTATCTTTAGAGTCCCTGAGTGACTGTGCCTTGGGTCATTTGAAATGCAAATAAGGGGCCCAGAGAGGTATCTTGGTAAGCAGAGTGCCTGTCCTGAAAGCTTGAGGTGTGTCCACATAAACGTGGCATTGCTGGGCATGGTGCCATGTATTTATAAGCCCAGTGTGGTGAGGGGGAGACAAGGGGCATCCCTGGGGCTTGCTGGCCAGCCAGTCTAGTCTTAATGGGTAAACCCCAGGCCAACAAGAGACCCTGTCTCAAAAGAGGTGCTACGTGTTTCTAAAGATAATACTAAGGTTGTCTTCTGGCTTCTGCATGCACGCTCATACATGCACATGGGCACACATATACACTTAAAAAAAACTTTTTAAAATGTGCATTGGTGTTTGGCCATGGGTGTTGGGTTCCCTGGAATTGGAGTTACAGACAGTGGTGAGCTGCCATGTGGTTGCTGGGAGTTGAACCGGGGTTCTCTGGAAGAGCAGCCAGCGCTTGTAGTCGCTGAGCCATCTCTCCAGCCCCTATCCAAGCAGTTGCTGTAGCAAATGCAAACCAGCCTTCTTTGTCAAGAAAGCATGTGTAGATGCAGAAATAGAAACTGCATAAAATCAAGGGGGCGCAGCTTGAGAAGACGCGCTCTCTGGCTGCCGAGACAGCCATCACAAGCAAGCTTCACCTCTTGAAATGTAAGATGAGACTCAGGCTTCCGGCAGCATACATCCCAAGTTATGTCCAGATCAGTTCTTTCTTATTCATCCAGTTTGGCTAAAATTGGAATACTTCAACGTCGGTTAGAGGCAGTGTGTTATAAAAGACAGCACTCCTTGCTAGCAGTCCGTGAGCAGAACAGTCTACAATGAACTGTGTTGTTATCGTTGACATTGTTCTTGGACCCAGCCCTTTTCTGTCTCATTACATCGTCCTCTCCCAAATGAGGCTTCCATTTCCTGATGGAGAGTGACTGTCAGCATTCCCCTTGGGAATGGGAGGAACGAAAGGAAGATGTCATCTTTCCTCTCTTTGAAAATTTTTCCCAGGAAAAGAATGTGCCTTTGCATTTACATACCACTGGCCAGAATGCAGGCCTCCACCCTGAGCGAAAAGTTCAGGGTGGCACACCCGAAGGGCTCTACGTTCAGTGCTCATCGGGACACCTGGGTGTAATTGCAGAGGCCCTGCAGTGACTAAGGACTGCTCCTTAATTCACTCGCAGGTGGCAGAGTTGGGATCTGGATGTAGGCCTATGTCGAGAAGCTGGAGCTCCTGTCTAACAGGCAATATCAACTCCCCGCCCCCTCTTTTTAATGTAGCAAGGGAAGACTGCCCTGGCTTTGGCTGCCAGGAGCCACCACAGCCTCATCGTGGATATGCTCATTAAAGCCGAGAGGTACCATGCCTGGAGAGAGGTAAGAGAAGCCAGTTTCGGTCAAAGCAGGGGCTCTTTTGGTAACCTTTGCTGAGTACAACGATGCCTGTCCCATTTATGATGGACAGTGTGTCTGTCCTCTTTTCCTCTATCTCTGTGGGCATCGGCAGTCAGACCTGAGGATGTGGGCCAGGCAGCCTCATCCCTGGCGGTATTGCTGGCCTAGCATGCCAGCCTCTGATGGCTGACTCCACTGTGATCTCTGTCTCATGGTGTCTGGCCATGACCTGTCATAGAAGCTCCAACGAGTGGCATGCATGGGAAGTATTTGGAGCTCTCCTGGCTCTGCCAGTTTTGCTGTAGCCCGATGCTGGCTTTCTGACACTCAAATATTCCTGGACAATCACCAACTTAAATATCTTTGAACACACAAATTTTATCTCTAATGATTTTTTTTTTATTTTTATCTTTCTTTCCTCTGATTGTCTGTCAGTCACACATCTTGGTAGACTGTCCTTCCCTCCAAGATTCAGGTCTGTGCCTTCAGGCAAGATGCTCAGACCCAAAACACCAGCCCCAACTTCTAGACCTATGCTGTTTCCCACTCTCCCTCCTGGGGACATGGTTTCTCCTGGGCCAATGTGTCATGCCAGCATACATGTCTACACGGCCTGGGTGTCTACTGTAGAGAGGTTACAAACCTGGATTGCTGTTACTGGCCAATCCTGGGATAGTCCTTTTTAAAACCATAAAGCAAGAAGGTTTACTGTCTCTTTCCCCCTCATAAGCCAGCTTGGTAGTCTAAATATACAGTCAAATGTCAGTCGTTGACAAAGAAACTTGAAACGTGTCATTAGGCCATGTGATCTTTGTGTCAATTCCACTGAGCACTCTTACATAGGCCACACACAAGTCATACAGCTCATGACTGAGTATGGAGTCTTCCAGTGGCTACACAGCTTCCTTGCAACTGCTCTTGCAGGTAGAACGATAAAGTCTGTTTCACCTACAAAACAACAGTTTCTTGTATACAAGTAGAATTCTGTTTAATCTTCCTCCTCTGACTTATTTTTATTGTTCCTCTTTTGTCTTCTTGCTTCTTTATCCTTCTCTTCATTTTCCTAATCACCATTATGCTGCCAAAGACTCAGGCTGACTTTCTCTTGTTCTTGAAGTGGTTTTCTACACTCACTTTGAAACTTTGAAAAGTCATGCTGTTCAATGTCTTTTTCTTTTCTTTTTTCTTTCCTTGGGCCCCCCCCCCCCGAGACAGGGTTTCTCTGTATAGTTTTAGAGTCTGTCCTGGAACTCACTCATGTAGACCAGGCTGGCCTCGAACTCACAGACGTCCATCTGCCTCTGCCTCCTGAGTGCTGGGATTAAAGGCGTGTACTACTACCAATCCATTTATTTTTTCAATGCCTGTTAGCAGCCTCATATTTTTTGGCTAGAAGACGATCGATAATTTTTGCACCAAATGGACCCTTCTTTTCTTGAGGTTTGTGGTACTGGGAAAACTTACTTTTAACTAAGTAGCATTAATTTCTTTTTAAAGCTTTTCTCTTTTTAAAACTTACCAAATTTTATTATTTTATTTTTAAAAATATTTTTTCATTAATCAAATAAGTTTATATCCAGATTTAGTACAAAATAATCACCAATACAAAGTTTGAGGAGATAATTTGAACTTTTCTTTTATATCTACTTACATATATTATGTGTACGCACATCCCATTTAAATTAGTTAGATATTGTGTCTATTTATACATGTACGTATTTAACCATATGTATATACGGTAGCAAGCGAGCATGCTGTAAATAACTGGCTACAGTGAGTTTCCATTTAGGCGCACCCTGAGAGCATTCAGGACTTGGCAGGATGCTCTACACTGACATTCAAGCAGGACCACAGTGTGGAGACCAGGCACATCCGCACGCTCCTCTGGAACCTGGCCTACCGAGATCTGAAGGAGAAGGACTGGCAGAGGCTGGCCCGCTTGTGGAACTTTTCAGAGGACCAGATCAGAGCCATTGAGGAGCAGTGGTCAGGTGAGTGAGGGCCAGGGGACATGGACAGGAAGGCATTCAGAGTTAGGGACAGCAGCCCAGTGTACCCAACAGGCTGAGTCCAGGGATCACGGTAATAACGGAAGTTAGCTTGGCTAAGTCTGCAACAGTGGTTGGCAATTTGGCAGAAAGCTAACTCCCAAGAATCTGCAGTCAGCTGCCCTGGCAAAGGTTGACTACTCTGGCCTAAAAGAGAAATGAAGGCTTCACAATTGAGTGGGAACCAAAGAAGTGAGGCTACATACATGCCTGTGGAAGGCCAGTCTGCCTTTCCACCAAAATCTGCAGCTTGCCCTGCCATAGAAAAAGTCACTGCTGAAGCTTCTGCCCAGGAAGAAGCCCGCTACCATGTTGGGGGAAGGGTTGGGAGGACACCATCTGCATACACACACACACACACACGCTCAATCTCACCAGCATGGCATCAACACTCACAATCCATTCATATTTTAATTTTTGAAGCAACTGGTATCGGGAAGTTTGTGGGATTTTGAGCGAATAATGTTGGTATATGTTGTTGGTACTGAAGAACAGCCAATAATACATGTACTTCAATTCTTTGACAATACAACAATAATACATGTTGGTATTGAAGAAGAATTAGTTTTTTGAGGAGCACATTCTTTCTGCCAAGATCCCAGGCTCTTTTTGTATCATCTGCCCCATGGTACCTATTGAGTGTTTGTAACTGTGAACTGTCCAAAGTGACAACAGGTTTTCTTCTCATTCCAATACCTCTCCTAAGCCCTCAAGAATTAGCTCTCAGGTATTTACAGACTGACTAATCCTGACCTGAGATAGAGACCTGCTGAATTGTGTAGCATGAATAATAAAAACCCAGAGACAGATATTGAGGTTCAAGCTGAAGATCAGAAAAGCAAAGCAGCCAAGTCATTGGAGAGCTCTTATCTCCACCAAGGCTCAGACAAAGGGGCGGCCCTGTCCTCCGTGTGACTGCAGGCGGCAAAGCGCTCCACGAAACCTCAGGCTGCACCGAGACTGCACTGAGCTCCTGCCTTAGATTCCTCTCTAGTGCTGGGACTAAAGGCATGCCATCCCAAGTGCTGGGAGAGCTCTGTTTCTCTTTTAGACTGATTCAGAGTAGCCCAGGGTGGCCTTGAACTCACAAAGATCCACCTGCCTCTGTCTCCCTGAATGCTGGGATTAAAGGTGTGGCCACCACTGCCTGTCCTCTGCGGCTAACTAATGGCTTAGTGTGTTTACGCCTAACTTGTGGCTTAGCTCTTAACCAGGTGTGAGGCTAACTAGTGGCTTAGCTCTGATCTTCAGGCAAGCTTTGTTTGTTAGATTACACACAAAATATCAGTACAGAGCTGGAGCCGTTGTATGGCACATGCTTGCCGCCCAGATTCACAGGGCACTGGGGACCTTGTCATACGGTGTACGGTCATTTAAACCCATTGACTCCAAACATCTGCATTTGCACAAGATGCCTGGGTAAAATATGTACTTTGAGCCTGACCTGCTAGAAGACGTCATATCTTCATATCGTGTGGGGACTGTCTGTCATCTCCAGCAGGCATCAAAGCCGTTTGGTCCCTTAGAGTGCCCCACCTCCCTGTGTGTCCCATATAGTTGTCAGGATGGCCATGTGGTCTAAGAACAGGAGGAGCAGGGCCAGGCTGTCTCTCAAAGGGTGGTCACCATAACACAGTACCGGGGAGGAACGGCAAGCGCTTCCTCCCTTTGCTGGGCTTTTGACCCGACAGATCTGGGAGGAAGAATGGACAGACAATAGCAGCCATTTAGAAACGTGTCAGAACGAGGCATCAGTGTGTGGTGCCTCACTCTGGCCTCTTATCCTGGACACAGGAAACAAGAGCTTCCGTGAGCACGGCTACAGGGCTCTACTCATCTGGCTGCACGGGGCCCTGATGACACAGCCCAACCCTGCCAAGCAGCTGGATGAGGCCTTGGTGCGTGCAGGATTCCCAGAGTCAGCTGGTGAGTTACTTTGCCACAAACCCACACAGATAAATCCCTTCTCCCTTCAGTGGCGGGCAGGGCTTACTCCCTGAATTTGGCAGCAGTCTGATGGGGGGTGGTTGTGGCCAAACAGAACATGGAGCTGTCGAAGTGGCTTATGGGCATACTGCAGCTTCTGCCTTGGTTAAGCCAACCAGGCAATCCTCCTCAGCACGGCATTTGAACCGAGTGTGGACAGCAAGGATGGGGCACGGATGCTCAGCCACCTTCCACAACCCAGAACTCTTCTCCACAACTGAGCAAGAATTATCCTGCTCCCAAAGCTGCTCGTTCCTATTGGCAAACTCCACCGGCTTAGTGGTTGTGAAAATGTGTGTTCTCCAGGTAGAAAGCAGAGTTGCACAGACTGCTGCTTCATCAGTTAAGGCTACTACAGAAAATCATTATTCGAAAGTATCAGTGAGTTAGTAATGACAGCTGCTGAAGGAAAAGGTGGAGAGGCCTCTGCCATGGTTTTCATGGAGGCAGTTCCACCTAGAGCTGACTACATGCCTGCCTCATTCTGGCACCTGGACCAGCATTGCTTCAAGCAGGAACAGGATTGATGAACACTGCAGATACCTACATTGCAGGACACTAGCCTCCTAACACGAGGCCCTACAATTTTAAATATGTTCTTTCCAATCAACATGCACCTATGCAATCTCTGAGGGAAGACTACGGCAGTGTGAGGAAGTGGTCAGGGCTGTGTTGTCAGGGCTTGCCTTGGCTCCAGCACTGCCATCTTTAGCAGGTTCTAAAACCATACTGCATCAGTGTGCCCATTCTAAACTAGGGAAGAAATTAACATCCATTTCTAAAGGTTGGTGCGGATGAAATGAATGGTGCCTGGAACACAGTGAACTACATTTAGTATCAGCTGTTGGTCTCAAATGTGTGTGCTGGTTAATTTTTGTCATTTTGACACAAGCTGGAGTCATCTAAGGGGAACCTTAATTGAGAAAATGTCTTCTAAGATCTGGTTGTAAGGCATTTTCTTAATTAGTGATATGGGAGGGCCAAACCCATTGTGGGTGGTGCCACCCCAAGGCTGGTGGTCCTTGGTTCTGTAAGAAAGCAGGTTGAGCAAGCCATGGGGAGCAAGCCAGTAAGCAGCATTCCTCCATGGCCTCTACAGTATCTGCTGCCTCCAGGTTCCTGCTGGGTTTGGAGTTCCTGCCTTGGCTTCCCTCAATGGACTGTGTGACTCAGGATATGTAAACCACATAAACGTTTTCTTCCCCAAATTGCTCTTAGTTACCATGTTTTATCGCAGCAATAGTAACCCTAAGATAATTATCCTGTTTTTTTTTTTTCCAGGAAAAATTCGTCAGTTCAAAGGTAAAACTGACCCAAGCTCCAAGAAATGTGTAGTCTCCTAAGCTGAAGAAACAATTCCAAAGGCTTCCCACTCCACATTCAGGTTGACTGTGGTTCCCGATGGCCACAGCCACCTCCCAGCAGACTGATTTCCTGGTCCAAAGATGCTGCTCTTCCAGGGATGGAGAGAACATACCACCTTCTCACGGCTCCAGCCTCATGCTGGAGGCAAACTGTGTGATTTTCCTATTTCAGTCATTTGATGTACGCGCAGAAGGGCAGAGCTCTGTACAAGCTTAAAACCCACATGGATGGTGGGAGCAGCATGGTGGCACACACAAAAGCAGGACTAGGAGATTCGGCTTTGACATTGGATATTTGGTTGCGAGCAGGGGGCAGGTTAACATTACTGACGTTCTAAGATCCGTGGCTTCCTTTTCTGATAGACAGAACGTTTCCTCCAGAGATTGGGAGAGAGATGAAGGGAAAAACCTGTGATACCTGACCGCAAGCCAGTGGGACTTTGGAGAAGCTGCCTGTGGAAATCCACACACGGCTGGCTTTACACCACACAAGTGTAGTCTATTATGCAGAAAAAACCAGACACACACCAGTAATTTTTAAATCCGTCATGATCTAAATATGGGTAATTTTAATTCTTGGTACTTTCTGGTACATCTGATTTTGCTCACAACAATCAAGCACTGCCTTCTGTAACCTGGGAAAGTTACGAAAGGTACCAGCTTTTATCACTGTATACCTACCTAGAGTCCAGCTCTGACTCTCAGTCTGGAAAAGCTGGTAAGGCAATCACAGGCAATTCTATTAATTTAGTTTCAAGTATTTTTCTTACAGTGATTGTAAATGGCCCATGTAATGCTAGGAATGTTTAAAACAGGCAATATATTCACGAGATCCCAGAATTTTAAAAAAAAGTATTAAATAAAAAGTTCCATCCCAGTTTGTTCTTGAGTTTGGCCACACCAATGCTAGCACTCTCCTTCCAACTCAATCTCTGCATGTAAAATAAGTACGAAATGCACACTTACTGTAGAGTGATTCCATCAAGCTTGTGTTATTTAACTTATGAATAATAATATGAATTATTTGGTGATTTGGATAACACACAGCAATTTTAGAGTTACCAATGCCTATAATAGTCCTAGTTACATCAATTTCCACTAGTATGTCCATATGACCTGGCTTGCACACTGAAAACCAGCTTGTCTGGGCTTCTCAAAGGTCCAGCCTAGACCAAGATTTCTATAGAAAATGAACATGAAGCCGAGGAGGAGCAAGGTGAGGATGCTACCAAATTGGCTCCACTTGGTGTCAAGTTCGGCTATCTGATCCTAAGCACACTCTGTTCCAAGATGGGATGGATGAATGCATCTCAGGGGCAGTTCACACAGGTGAGGGAGGGAGGAAGAATTGATCCATGTTACGGTGTGTTTTAAAGACTTAAAAATGTGTTTTGACTGTATGTATGTTATGTACACATGCATTCCTGGTGCCTATGCAGGTCAGAGGAGCTACAAATGGTTTGAAGCTGCCAAGTGGGTGCTGGGGACTGAATTAGGTTCCTCTGCAGGAGCAGCGTGTGCTCAGCGTTTGAGTCATGTCTCGAGCTGCACAGTGGGGACTTTTATTCTGGTCACGAGTGATCTCTTAAGGCAGCCTACCATTCCTCTTGGCTCTGCTGGGTGGAGAGGGCAGTTCTGGGGAGCATGCCCACAGGGAAGATGTGAGAGGAGGTGCTGCAGTTTGCTATTCACAAATCTTACAAGCCCAAGGAGTGAGCTTTTGCTACGGTAGTAGCTGGACCATTGTCTGGTATGTCTATAATTCAGAAAAGTCTTAAGCACTTGTTATAATATAGAATCATGTTTGCCTATACCACATTTAGTCTCTGAAGTGTGAGGCAGCAAGAAAAGTGACTTTTTATAATAAAATGAGAGAGCAAAACCACACATATTAGAAAGTGGAGGCCCAGATGGACTCTTTAGCACCTGCTTGTATATTCCGTAAGTACAGTGTCAACAGTGAAGGAAGTACATCTACTTACATCACAGATGAGGATCCTGAAATCCATTTAATTAAATGTTTGGCTCCAGAAAACAAAGCATTGAAGGAAACTGCAGTTTATTCTCTAACGTCAGTTCTGTCCAGATGGTCTATTTCCTTCCTTCCTTCCTTCCTTCCTTCCTTCCTTCCTTCCTTCCTTCCT